TTCTCTCCCTTCTCCCTCTGCCCCTCCCACTTGCATTCTCTCTCTCTAAAATAAATAAATGAATCTTTAAAAACCATTGTGGTAAAATGCACATAAAATTTAGCATCTTAACCATTGTTAAAAGAAACCGTGCAGGGGCTTTATGAATGCCCACACTGTTGTGAAACCATCACCAGCACCAGTCTCCAGAACTCTCTGGTCTTGCAAAACTGAAATTTTGTCCCCATTAAGCACTGACTCCCCATCTTCCTCCTAGCAGCCCAGGGCAGCACGCTCTTGGGATTGAGTCCTGCATCGGGTTCCCTGCTCAGTGGGGAGCCTGCTTCTCCCTCTCCCTCTGCTGCTCCCCCTGCTTGTGCTCACACGCTCTCTCTCTCAAATCAATAAATAAAATCTTAAAAGAAATTCCCTCTCTTTACAAAAGTTGTTTTTTTTCTAAGTTATTTATTTATTTGACAGACAGAGATCACAAGCAGGCAGAGAGGAAGGCAGAGAGAGGGAAGCAGGCTCCCCGCCGAGCAGAGAGCCCGATGCGGGGCTCGATCCCAGGACCCTGGGATCATGACCTGAGCCGAAGGCAGAGGCTTTAACCCACTGAGCCACCCAGATGCCCCCGAAATTCCCTCTTTTTAAAGGCTGAATAATCTATTCTATTGTATGTGTATTCCACATTATGTTATCATTTTTTAAAATGCCGGTATATTATATGTGACATAAAATTTGCCTTTTAGACCACTTTTCAGTGTAGAGTCTGGTGGCATCAGGCACATTCCTGCTGTTGCACCACCATCACCACCTTCTGGTTCTGAAATTTTCCCTCCTGCCCCCAAAGAAGGTCTGTGCCCATTAAGCACGAACTCCCCCATCCCTTTCCCCCAGCCCCTGGTAACCTCTAATCTATTTGCTATCTGTGAACTTGTCTGTTCCAGATATCTAAATATTTCACTATAACGTGTAATCCTACAGGACTTGTCCCTTTGATTTCACTCAGCATCATGTCTTCAGCGCTCATCCACGTCACCCCATTGTTATAACCCGAACATCTGTCCCTCCAGAATTCAGATATTAAAATCCTAACCCTTCAACCCTTCAGTGTGATGTTGTTAGGAGGCAGACCCCAGGCCCTTTGCATGGCTTTCGGTCAGCAACGGGGAGACGTCACTGCTGCTCTGGCTGCTTCCAGAGCTCTGGAGGGGGTGCCGGGATGCCATGGGGAGCAAGGAAGGGTGGTCCTGCCTGTGGAGACGCCATGTGCCAAGGAGTGTGCCCAGCACCCCTGCCAAGAAGGTGGCAGCTCTTTGACTCTGCAGAGGAACTAAGAGAGACTTAGAGAGAAGGAACTTGGCCCAAATCACATGGCTGGTGTGTGGCAGGCTGGGATCTGAATCCAGCTGTGTCTAATTCCAAAGCACTTGCCTTTTTTTTTTTTCTTTTAAAAAAGAAATGGGTTGGGCACCTGGGTGGCTCAGTGGGTTAAAGCCTCTGCCTTCGTCTCAGATCATGATCCCAGGGTCCTGGAATTGAGCCCCGCATGGCATCGGGCTCAGCAGGGAACCTGCTTCCTCCTCTCTCTCTCTGCCTGCCTCTCTGCCTACTTGTGATCTTTGTCAAATAAATAAATAAAATCTTTAAAAAAAAAAAGAGAGAGAGAAAAGAAATGGGTTCTCGCAGGGCTTCTCCCATCTATCCACATGCTATTGTCTGGCTAGAGACCCCTGGGTGTCCCCAGGCTCATGCAGCTCCTTTACCATCCTGGGTCCTGTCCTGCTGTGTGGAAGTGGCAGGGGCGGGGGGCGGCTGGGGCTACCTTCGCAAAGTTCTCGGGGTACTCAGCCCCACCCCCCCTTTCAGATTCAGCGGGGCTGGAGTGACCCAAGAATTTGCGTTTTTAATAAATTCTCAGGGGAAGCTATTGCTGCTGGTCCAGCAAACACAGTCGGAAACCAGTTGATTTCTCTCTCTTTAATCATTGTCTTTCCTATGAAATAGCTCAAGCTACATGTGTTTTTTTCACAGTGCCATGTTGCCTTCTGTGTGCTGAGGGGATGGGGGTGCTTATGAAACCCAGGACACCTGTTCTAGGCTCAAAAACTACCTGAGGTTATTTCTGCTCCTACTATAGTCAGGAAGTGTAAGCATTTCGGTGTGCAAGGTGCTGTTCTGAGCTCTGCTACGCCAATCCTTATGAAATCTGCATAGCCGTCCTCTAGCTCAACCTATCGAGGAGGAAACTACACTCAGAGAGGGCAAGTCACTGGCCTGAAGTCACACAGCAGCAAGCGGTGAGGGCAGGATTTGGCCCCAGAGTGGTCTGGTGCCAGAGTTCATGCTCTGAGCCGTAGGTTATTCTCAGCTGGGACGGAAGTCCCTTATCCGTTCTGGGGGTAACTGCTGAATAGGCTAATTCCCGTCCCCACCTCGTTCCCCCATCCGATTCCCCAGCCTCTGTGAACAGCATCATCACCTACCCGCAGACCTCAGGAATGCGGGTGGGTACATCTGTTCACACTTCCTGATCACTGCCTCTGAAGACCACAGGGTGCTGCTCTGTGTGGCAGACCACGCCTCAGCGCTTTTATGGAGTTTTCCATGTCTTACTAGAAGCACCACCACAACCCCATGTGGCACTTATCCCCATTTCACTGATGTGGAACCACAGCATCAAGAGATTAGGTGACATGCCTCAAAACACAGTCAAGAAGAGAAAGAACCAGAGTCACCCCTTTTCTGTCCCTACAGGGTCCCGTGCTAGCATCTCTCCATCGGGCAGTGGTCACAGCCTCCTCCGTGGCTCCCCATTTCTTCTCATTCTCTACCTGGCAGTCAGGGCACGAATCTGATCATACCACTGCCCTTTCAAGCCATCCACAGACTCCCCACTTCCTCAGGACACAGTCTGAGCTCCTTGGCCAAAGCCCTCTCAAGCTGAGCCAGACATACCCCTCTGGCCTGTTCTGCCTACCCCAGACTTGTCCTTTACACATCACTCTAGGCCCACCTTTTGCCAGAACACCATGGCCCCTGAGCTGTGTTGCTTACATCTCCAATGTCCTTTTTCCCATTTCTTGGCAGGAAACTCCTACTCATCCTTCAAGATCCACCTAAGATACAAACTGTCTTCTGGGAAGTCTTCCTGGCTGGCTGCCTGCTCTTGGGTTGGGGATATTTACTTGCTACAGTCCTTAGTGCCTTGGGATGGAGCCGTCTGCCCATCTGTCACTCTGCCGCCCCTGGGCCCCACAAAGCAGAGACCCCATCTCATTTGCCTTGGTCTTCGGAGAGCCAGCTCTGAGGTCCAGGCCGAATCCAGCTAAACAGCACCAAGGTAGATGGTCACCAGGGGCCCTGGAAAGGGGCTCTGGATTCTTGAGTGTTGACCAGCAGCCTGTGTCTGAGTCTAATCTCCGGTGGACACTGGGAAAGGAAAAGATGCTACTTTTATTGCTAGACACCTATGCCTGTCCCCCTCTGCCCGCTGGGGCAGTAAAACGGCTGTTTATGAACCAAGGGTAAGGTCTTTCTAGCCAGGGCTGCTGGAAACCACTTGGGGCAGATGGAGTCTGGGGAAATGGCTGGTAACCACTCTCCAGGGAGAGCCCTGAGCCCCTAGATAATTAGCCACATGTGTGTGGGAGACAGGCCCATTTTTTTTTCCCCCAAGGATTTATGAGAAGGGGGAGTATTCTCATTGACCTCCATTTCAGGAAAGGCCTCTTTCTGGAACACTTGCCGAATATTCCATTGACAGCAAAGCACATATGCTTGCAGTCAGCCTGCTTGACATCGTCATACCCGGCATATGTTTCTTGTCTCGTGCATCTTAGCACTCGCTGCGGGAACTGCCTGTATTTCTGAAGGTCCCTAAACACAGCTCCGAACGAGGCACTTATAATTTACCCTTCATGAAAGCCGTCTCTGCTCTTTCCAAACATACTTGGAAGTGGATTCAAAGTTTATTTAAAGGAAAAAAATTTTTTTTTAATAGAGAGTGTTTGTGAATTCTTCCTCGCCAGCCCTCCTCTTTGGGACCCTGGGAACGAGTCCTTCAGCTCGCAGACATCGACACCCTTGTGACCGTGGACATGTGGATACGGGTCATCTGTCTGCTCAGACCTTTCTTGAGCTCACTGTCTGTTTACTCACTTGTTAGGGTGCTTCTTCTTCTACCCCACTGTCTGTCTTTTTTTTTTTTTTTTTTTTTAATGATTTTCTTTATTCATTTGACACAGAGAGAGAGAGCACCAGCAGGGGGAGAAGCAAGCTCTGGGCCAAGCAGGGAGCCCAATGTGGAGCTCGATCCCAAGACTCTGGGATCATGACCACAGGCGAAGGCAGACACTTAACTGACCCAGGCGCCCCCACCCCTACCGTCCTTCTGTTTCTTCTACTCAGGCACTGCTTCCTCATTATGATTCAACCATCCACTGAGCCCTCTGTCCAAAAATGGCTCAGGACATCCCATGGGGCTAATGAACGACTTTGTTCATCCAGGTAATCAAAGCTCCCTCTGGATGTTTGTTTGCCCACTGGTTGTCCCCCCCCCCACCCCAGTTCTCCTTGTTTGTCCACCCTTTGGTCCAGCATTAGCGCACTCAGTGCCAGGCACCGGGGAGGGGCGCGAGCAGAGGGGAGGAGACGCGCAAGCAGCCAATCAGGATTCGGCATGGGGAGTCACGTGAGGAACAGGTGCATGTCGGAGGGGCAGGGCACGGATGCCCAGGAGCAGCGCCTCAGAAGAGGGAGCTGTGAGCAGGGGGGAAAACCTGCCCTCCCTCCCTGATCTCCCAGAACCCACGGAGCCACAGCTTAAGTAAGGTCTACGGCTACCCCGTGGCGTGAAACGCCACACGTGCCTCCTAGACATGCTGCGTCAGAAATAACCTTCTTCCCTGGGCCTGTTCAAATGTGTCTCTCTCTTACTGATCCTTAGGGCCCTTCTGCAGAGGAGGAATCCGGGGTTCAGGGGAGGGGAGGGTCAGGGGCGAAGTGGCAGAGCCCACCTGTCACAGTTTGGGGACTGGTGGTCAGCCTGCGTAGCTCGCTGCAGCCATTGGCCAGCAGGTGGCCCTCTGGACAGCCAGCCACCGGACCTGTCGGATCCCCCTCAGAAGGCTTCCAGGCCGCTTGGGACTTGGGGTCCATTGTTTAGGGGCAGGGTTCTCCCTGCACCCCACAAGTCCTAGAGCTAAGGGGATATCCCTGGCAGAAAAATTGTGATCTTTCTCTAGGAAGCCTAAGGCTCAAAGCCACCCCCACTCCCTGTCCCAGCCCTGCTATTTCATTGCCTCTTTTCTCCTGGCCTTGGGCCAAGGGGCTGAGAAAGAGGACCTGCTTGCAGAGCAGGGACAGCACATGCCAAATTCCAGGCTCCAGGTCCTGCAGAGAGAGTGGCCACAGTCCCAGAGAGAACATTCTGGGAACTCGCTTACCCAACACTGCCCTGCGTGGGTGAGCACGGCTGGCAGCCCCTGCAGAAAGGAAGGGTTATTTTCTATTTAAGTCTTCACAGAGGTCTTCAACTCAACATGGTACATTAATTAATTATGTGGTTCAGTAAATTTATTAACAACAACAACAGCAACAACAGGTAAAGTACCACTTGGTGAATACAACAACCTAAACCAACCCTAATTAATATTAGTTCTAGATGCTTAAAGAGGGAGCGAACCGGAGGGACTGTTTTTTATTAAAAAAATAAATTAAAAAAAAAAGGAGCTGCCTGGGAGTTAAAGATGGGAGATGGAGTGCCTACATTTATCTCTACTCTGTCCAGAACCCTGAGCTCCAAGGGCAAGGAAGTCAGGAGAGGATTTTTTTTTTTTTTAAAGATTTTATTTATTTATTTTACAGAGAGAGATCACAAGCAGGCAGAGAGGCAGGCAGAGAGAGAGGAGGAAGCAGGCTCCCTGCTGAGCAGAGAGCCCGATGCGGGGCTCGATCCCAGGACCCTGAGATCATGACCTGAGCCGAAGGCAGCAGCTTAACCCACTGAGCCACCCAGGCGCCCCAGGAGAGGATTTTTATAAATAAAGTTTTATTAGTTTTTTTAGGACACAGTCTCTAGGGTCTATGGCTGCTTTCATGCTATAACAGCATAGTTGGTTCCAATGGAGATGGTACTGGCCCCCCTGATCTGGACAGTTGTCCTTCCTCAAGCTGGAAAGCAGCCTGTGTGGGGGTGTAATTTTCTGGAGACGGAAAAACAGTGTCTAGCCTGCAGGACACGAAGCAAAGTTGAGGGACGAGTGCCATTAACTGAAAGTTTACACATGGAATATGGAGGCCCCCTCCTCCTCTCCTTCCTCAAAAAGGCTCCAGAATTCGGACATTCACACCTTTGTTGCCAGGCAGGAGTTGAGAGGCCTCCTTCCTAGGGATTCTGAGGAGCCCAGGAGAAAGCTCCATCCAGCTCCCACCCCTGGGAAGCCACTGTTGACCAGCCCCATCTGTCCATGGAGCTGTCAGTTGACTTCTTTAGGTTTCCACCAGGAAAAATGAGCCAAAGGTGCTGGACATCTGAGAGTCTCTTGATGAAAGAGGCCAAAACAAGTGGGGAAGAGCAACTCCGAGGGTGCGGGTTTTCAGAAAACATAACAACAACAACAACAGAAGTTAAGTTCAGAGAAACGGTCAGTATAGCCATGAAACAAGATCAGAAACAAGATCAATATCCAGAGAACGTATGCACAAAATGTCTTGCAAATTGAAAAAGTGGAGGCAAAGATGAGAATTTCACCAGAGGCAGAGCTGCAAAAATAAGGCTGGGGGTGATGATTTCTCAGACTAGAGTCTCTGATGCTGGTCTTGATGTCGAAAATTAAGTTTGATACCACATTCCAAAATCACCTGAACAAAGCTTTGTGGAAGGTAGGGAAGTTAATCAGTCCTGGGGCTTTGCTCTTTCAGCAGGATAGGCAATCAAATCTCTCATAGATTCCTGCCAATGGTTGTATTGTGGAACACTGGACCTGTGTATGCTATAATTTAATTTAGGACACCTTTAGATACACTACCAACGCATTGCTACTTTTTAATAGAGCTATATTTCTAGTAACTGGCATTTTTAACATAGCACTATATCTGTTCTTGACTTTAACAAAGAACTGTTTTATTCTTAATGGACTCCGTATGAATGGGTGCCTTGTTGTCATTTAACACATTTGTCTCTACTTTTCCCTGTACATTTTTCTTTTGTAATTTGTGACATATACCCTTATGATCACTCTGTATTTTTTTTGATCACTATGTATTTTTAAGTAATAAAATAGTATTTGTTAAAAAAAAAAAAATAAGGCTGGGGGGCCGGAGAGGCACCTGTTGTCATACCAAAGGGAGACGATGGAGTCTCACCACCTGGGCAAGGGGACTAGAGGTGGAAAGGGCCTTCAGATGGTGGGACTGAGGACTGATGGCTCAAGGACAGTGAAAACCAACTGAAGGGTGTGTAGGAAAACACAGCCTGCTGGGGCAGCTCTGGCTCTGGGGGTCCAGGACTGGACCTCAGGCTTCCCAGGGCTGTCAGCTCCAATGCCTCAAAGCCCCTTTGTCTGGCAGGAAACCCTTCTCCAGGTGGCCAATTTCAAGTTGCACGTGTCAGCTGGATTTTTCGGCTCACGCCCCCGCCAAACCTGCCTGACAGTTCGCTGCTCACTTGATTTCCAAATTTTGTGAAACCAACTCATTCCCAGGTGAAAACAACCATATCTGATTTCTTCTTCGGATGACCCAGTCAAGATGGAAATCTGCTGTGTCAGACGTTAGAATCCACCAGGGTCAGCTTCCATTTCTTTTTCTTTAATTTAAACAAGATTTTATTTATTTAAGAGAGAAAGAGAGGGAGTGAGCGGTGGGTGGAGCAGAGGGAGAGTGAGAATCTCAAGCCGACTGTGCTCTGAGCGAGGAGCCTGACACGGGGCTCAATCCCACGACTCTGAGATCACACCGGAGCTGAAATCAAGAGTCAGACGCTCAACCCACCGAGCCACCCATGCGCTCCCAGGGACTCCCACCATCCTGCCGATGTCAGAACCCACCACTGTCCCTCCTCCGAACATTATGAAGTATGGCTCCCAAACACACCGTATTTCTGTAGGCTTTGACTTCCTTGGGCTTCTTCTGTCCCCAGTCCTCATAGCAACCCTGCGCACATGGTCCACTCCCTCCTGTGTCACGCGTGTCCCTTCTCCCGATTAGACCCTCTAAGCCTTCCTCTGCTCCTCCCCTTGGCCCCCCACGGCTCTGTCCCTGGCCTTCACCTGTGACCTCATTTCAAAGGCCCCACCCCATGAGCCATACAGGGACCTTCCCAAATGCCTTGCTCTTCCCACGTGCTCACCCCCCAGTGCAGCTTCAGAGGAAGTGGCTCTTGGCCTGGAAAGCCCTGCTAACTCCCCGTGGCTGCCTCCCTCTAACATTGGGGTCTTAGCTCAAATGTCACCTTAGCTCAAGTGACACCCTCTCTGCCTGTCCTCCCAGCTTCCGGGTACCTTCACCAGATCTTGTCACCTGCCCCCTGCAGGTCTTTGTGCTGTGAGAATTGTCAGCTCCCTGACAGGACAGATCCTGTCTGTCTTCGTTCCCAGTGCTTGGCACAGAGCAGAAGCTCAGAAACACATGCAATGAGAAAACAGGGGCCAGTAGGGAAATGACTTGCCCCCAGTCCCACGCCAGCAGAGGCCTCTCCGGCCTGAGCACAGACCCTGCTGTCACAATGCACTGCCTGCTGCTGGGTCCCCTCCCCTCCCTTGGATACCGGTGTGCTCATCGACTTTGATGAATGCCTCCTGGCCAAAGGAACCTTCTAAAGGGCAGAAATGCTGCTTCTAGGTTTCTCTCAGAGAGCTGCAGAGCCTGCAAACCAGGGAGCACAGTATGGGGAGTGGGGGTCCCACGTGGAGTCCGTGGAGACACCCAGATCTGGGCTTAATCCCAGCTCCACCCCGAGTAGCTCATCTCATCTCCCCGAGGCGCAGGGTCCTGGTCGGCAGGCCCAGGATCACATGGCATCTATGTCCTGGAGTTGGGACACTTACCTAAGACTTGTTATTCATGAACCAAACACGGGCCAGGCGCTTGGGGAATGTTGGAATCGAAATGAAAGAGGCCGCCCTGCCTACTAGGGGCTGAGGCTCAGAACTCATAATCCAGTTTGAGCTCCCTGCTCTCATGAGAGGTCCTGCCCATGGGGCCCCAGGGAATCTGTGACTCACCAATAGTGCCCCATCAGGCGGGATCATTGGGTGCACGGGGCTCTGAGGATGGAGAGAGCCGCCACCGGGAGGGTGGGGCAGGCACGAGTGCCCCAGGGCTCAGGGGTTTGGACGCCTATCCTTGGCTTCTCAATTTCCGGCAGAGCTGAGACATCTGCTCGGCGGTTCATCTTTTAATCCCGGCCGTTATCAGTTGCCGGGAAAGAACCCAGCCCAGTCTCCAAGCTGGCAGAACCTTCCTATGAATTCCGCCAAGAGAACAAAGAGTTCCCCAAGAGTGACACAGCTTTCCCGGGGGACCAGCTGGCAGGGCCGGGCTGGGAGGAAGGCACGTGCAAGGCGGGTGAAGATGCCTGGCCTGGGAGGGTGGGCACAGCTGCCAGGAGGTTGGCCTGCCAGGGACCGGGCTCCGGGCATCTAAGGCCGTCTTTTCTATGTACCTTTGTGTTGGGGAACTCAGGAGAGTGGTGTGAAGTCCTGGTCCAAGACCACCCTGGGCAAGGTGGGTGGCTTGGCTCGGTCTCTCCGCTGGGTGACCCTCGCCCCCTAGCCACCAACACTCTCCCGTTCCCCAGAGCTTGAGTGGTCAGTGGTCACTCCAAACCTCTGTGGCCACCCCAAACCTTTTGGTCACCCTCTTCTCTTCGGGATGCTTCCCCCTAGTGTCACCTTGCAATATTGGTTACAAATGTCCCTGCTTTCTCAGGTGAGCGGTAGGTGTGATTCACAGCCCACTCACCAGCGACCTCTGAGCTGAGTTCTGTGGGGACAGAGGGGGTGCTCAGGGCTCCCACTCTGCAAGGAGAGGCAGCGGGCTTCCGAGCCAGCAGCCGTGACACCCTCCCCCCAACTGATCTAGCAGGAGTGCTCTTGGCAGGCTGGCTCGGGAGCAGCTCTGTAAAGCATTCACGGAAGCTTTGTCTTCCTTCCTAT